TCGTCGACAGCAGCGCTTTCTGGTGGATAAAAGTGAACAATGTAATAACGGGTGACGAATAAAATTTCGAAGGCTCATGAGGAAACGAAATTGTACGATAACTTCTGTCTTTTCTTACTGTGGACATTCCCTATAGCATTTGATAATCAGAGATGACAGTTTCAGAAGATGAACACGTACACAATAAGCGCAACGCTGCTGTAAGAACAGGAGTCACGAACTTGGAGAAAACTTTCTTGCTTCCGAGCTACTGAACTGAACGAATCGTAAGCCAGGAGTTAGCTTTCATTCACGGATCTCAAAATTCAAACAATTCGGGTGTCAACATCTTCAGATCTGGCTTCCAAATTTCACATCTCCAATTATGTTTTAACAACGAACAGGAATAAAAAACGCAAACTCCAACAAAGGAGAAATACTTTACAAAAGTTCCTTATTCTTCTTTTTTCCAATTTGCTATTCATTTATTGCAGATATGAATGTATCATGACAAAGTCAATAAACAGAACAGACGTAACACTTATACTATCACAAATTATTTCGTACTGTACTTTGATTATGTATCGATCCAGCGTTGTGGACGAGTGATTAGCATTCTGATTCGTATTAGTATCGTCCCGGGTTCGAATCTAGGTCTGGAGACAGGCTATAATCGCGGAGGTCTGTACTGATTTCCCTCGGTCCCTTGAAGAAAATGTCAGGCGCACAGAATTTGGTCACGATACATTTCCTTACACACCCTTTCTAATTCATTATTCACTAATCATTCGACTCTAAAATCTGAGCTACTGAGAGCGTCGTTAAATAAAAAATTCCTTGGACTTTAGTCCGCAAGCGAACTGTACCAACCGCGCGACCGCCCCTTGTCGGCCAAGTTAGTACCAAATTTGTGGACAGAGGGTGTCGCGTGGTCAGCGCAATGGAACCCCACGGCCGTTAATTTCGGGTTTCAATACCTGCGTTAAATATCTACTGTAAATAAATAAAAATTGTGAGCCCACTGTAACTATATGCGCGAGAACCATTACAATAGCTCGCACTAATAAGGGCGGAACAGGACTGCGCATGCGTACGATAGTCGGTCCCTCTACTACTGCACTCAGTTGTTCACGTGGCAAGCACTGTGATTTAGCAAGTTGATTTAGAGAGACTAGTCGCTGCATAGAGTCTGAAGAAGAGTAATTAGGAGATTCAAGCAGGCGATAAATGGTTTTAGCTCAGGTAACATGCCACCACAGGCAGCTGGGCAGTGCTGCTTCTAGTTACACAGCGAGTCCAGTGTAAAGACGTTTGCAATAAAAGTTCAACATGACGATAGGTATGCTACATATGTCCAAGTTATGCAGTCGATATACGAGTGGTGCATTCAGTACCGTTATTATGCCACGAGCTGGGCGACCAACAAATCGGGGTACGATTCCCGGCAGAGACTTTTCTCCACAGAATCCAGACCAAATCTGTGGTCCACTGAGGCCCCCCCCACCATGAAAAAGGTATCGGGGGGTGTTTCCCAAGTCATAGAGTGACAATGGTTTGAAACTGACCAGTGTTCAGGATAAGAATGTGTGGAGCTACATCTCCACTCCCCCATACATGGTAATGACGCTGTGCTTAATTGAACACAAGAACTATTTCCGTTTTTATATTTTTACAATTAAAGTTATGAGAAGATCGTTTAATTCTGTGTAAGTTTAATGTAAAATAAGGATTTTACCTATGGCGTTATGGAAAATGGAGTAAACAAGAAGTTCTGGGAAAAATTAACTACCTACTTTCCTTTGATATGACACGGCCCGCACAGAAAACAAAAAAGGAAGAAACACAGACACACAGACAACAAGGTGCATAAGTTTTTTTTATTCTTTTTCAAAATGAAGGAAGTAGGCTAAAAATTAATCGAAATGAGGTAAGTGCATCATAAGATCATCCTTAATAAAAAGAGCAAATTATAATAAGCCTGTGTCCATATCCAGTGCTCTGGATCCAGTGACACACCGATGTAAATACATTACAGCATAAACATCTGAAGATGTCTGCTCTCCTGACGCTTCATGACGTAACCGTCTTTTCTGTACGGACACAAAATTTCGAGCACTAAGGATGTAAACTGAAATTCATATTTTAACTTGTGTTGTCAGACGCCCCCTAATAACAAATTTAATCAAATACCTTCATAGGTTTCAGGGCACAAATATCCAGACACACAAACAAACACGATCTTTCCGTGACCGTGACGCTTCTTCGTGTATCGAACGAAAGAAGTAGCGTATCTACGCCATGCGTCACGTGCTTCTTAACAATGCATACAGACACACAATATGTTTATGTAAGGTCCACTACATTCTGATATGATTGAGAGCAGTTTTCGCTGTGATTTGTAAAGGCGACCGGAAGGCACTACAGGAAACCGATGTTCTTGGAGCGGAGCAAGCAAGCCGCTATTGGCTGTTCTGCTGAAACCGCAGATAGGGTTCTGCCACACGCCAGAAAGCCGCTGCAAAGCAGGCAGGCCGCTAAACTCTGCCGTGTAGTCCTCTCAGCTATTGGAAAATAGCGTCTCCTGTGGAGGATGGGATGGGCGGATATGAGGACAGAATTTTGTTTGGAAGACCAGAAGGGTAGATACTTTTTGTATGGGCATCGTGTGCATAAGACGATAAGAACTATTCCCTTACTTTCCTTTCATCACATATTGAGTGTCTGATATGACACAAGCCACACAGAAAATACTGCGTCAAGCAGTTATTCTATTATTGTGTGTATTCGAGGCGTTGCCTAGCAACGTTCGGGACACACAGGCAGCAAGGTGATTTCACAATTTCAAACTAAAGAAAGTAAGACGGCTGGATAATTCGATTTATATCGCTTCGAATAGGCCCAATTGCGGGCTTTTGTGAACACAGTTATGAACCTTCTCGTTCCATGAAGGGAGAGGAATTACGACAGATGTGCGACTATCAGATTATTAAGGTTTAGGATGCATGCAGTCAGTATTCCCTGATGTCTGACAGCAAAATAGAGAAAATTCAATAGGTCCCATGAATTGTAAGCAATTAAAATAATTTGAAAAAGAAATTTCAGCATGAAAAGGAGAATAAAAGGAAGAAGTGAATACATAAAAAGGAGGAAGGAAAATTGTCATGGACAGTTTAGCGTGCAACCTGGCAGTAGTTTTACTAAATATTCGTAATTTACATTTTCTAGAAGAAAGGTACCATATTCAAGGACCATACAAAGCAAACACTCAAATGCTGGATCATAGATTCACACAGTCATGACTATGAAAAGTAAGTACTGTCTTCTAGCATGTAACGCCGTCTAGTCCGGTAGGTACCGGCTTACAAGGCGTCACATCCCCCAAAGGAGTATTCTTGAACTGCTGAAATGATACCACCACTTTCGATAGTTCCCAAAGGCATCAACTTAATTCTATGTTATTAAATGTTACATAACGTCAGCAGTCGACGCAGTACTTTAAAATGCCGTAAGATATTAAATGAACATGATGACTGCAGCCTGGCGGATTGTCATGAAATCCTATTTCAACTAACGCCTATCTATATCTAACTAGACTACACGCAATGTCTCCGAGTCGGAGAAGTTGCCGCATCATCACGGCGAACTACCTGCAGAGCTAAGACACGAAGACAGATTCAGTTATGAACACATACACAGTTGTACACGGGGCTTACGGTGTTGGAGACTGCCGTGCCATGGTTACTGTGCAAGGACAGAAACTCAATGTCGGTTTCTAGGAAACTATATATAAATATAATGTTACAATATTCTGGGATGTGTCTAGGAGAGGGAAAATCTTGGTCAGAGATCCAAACGAGAAACGAAGCCAAGAATGACTATGCTGGGGAAGGTCAGCAGCAATTTAACCGATTGACAGATCTTCTTGGAAGTAAGATCACGCAATTTGGTAGAAATCGTCGTTTCGGAGAAATCCGTTGCCTCCATCTTCAGAGTAAAATCTACCTGGTGGTGCATATTTACCACACCACATGGCGTAACATACCATCGAGAGAACACAGAATCTTCCATACAATTACTTGTTTTTTCCCCAAGAGGCACTGGAAATGTTAATCATAATATGGCTAAAACCTTTTGCTCAAGAAAATGTTAAAAGGTAAAAGGTAAAATTATCCCTGTAACAGGTCGTAGAGGCCCATAGGGCTGTGACACGTCAAGGCTACCACATTTTCTAGAAAATCGACTCATAGATGGCAGTGGGGTTGTCAGCCTTACGCGCCGGCCGCCCTTTACCCCCTTCCCCTCACGTAGACTCCTGATGCTCATTTCTGTCAGAGGCTGAGTAGACCCTAGGGCTATAGTGCGGCTGGAAGGTTTAGTTAAATTGAAAAATCCTATGACCTCATGGGGAATCGAACCCGTGACCTTCAAACTGGTAGTATGGTGCCTCAACCAAATAGGCTACCATGTGCCCCACAAGAAAATGTTATACATTTTAAATAGACGAGAGAAAACAAGGCGTTTATATCCATAAAAAATGTGATGTCATAGGAAGACAGACTCTGACCAATTATCGTCTGATTAAGACGCACGAATTAATCAAATGTCTTGTTCGCATGGCGAGCGTAAGACATCACAGAAGCCTGGGTCTTAATGTAACGCACGGCATCCAACTTCCTATTTATCTTCGTGGGAGTCTGCTACGGCAGTCTTGGAGGTGAAGACACAGCTGACTACCGTTCAACTAATTCTGACATCGACTACCATGTTACCTTACAGTCGTAACGAATACATTTGACTGAAATTCATCTAATTATGACAGCTGCATCAATGACAGGGCGGGGTGAGACTGAGTCTACTTGGTAGGTCGGCCCCTAACTGGTCTAATGTACTAGATGATGAGTGTGGAGCAGCCGGTGGAATGAGAATTTGCAGGGGAAACCGAAGTACTTGGAGAAAACCTGTCCTAGTACCACTTTGTCCACCATAAATCCCACCCGGATTGACCCGGGCCGCCGCGGTGGGGAGCCGGCGACTAACCGCCTGGGTTATGGCATGGCCCAATGACAGGGTTAGACATTACTTTAAGATTGTTATGCAGACTAAGACAGTTGACTATCATTATATAACTATAACACAGATTTCTATGATAGTTTATTGCTGTCACAGGAAAAGAAGGCAGTTGATTGATGCTCACTGTGGCATTTATTCTTCAGTACTCCTTCACAGGAAACTCGTCCGTGATATAATACATGTAGGCTACCCAGTAACTAGATATTAAAATACAGAAGGCTATGGGGAAATATTTCCTGGACTCTATATCAATTCTTGAGAACTTATTTGGCGTCTCTCCTGTTACTATCATTCTATATACGTCTTCTTCTCTAGGCGCAATCTTGGCTTCTTTCCATGATTTCCACGGCTTCATTACAAATTTTCCTAGGATATTCATGGCTGCATTTACATGCCTCAAACACTTGCCTTCTTCGTATTTATTCTCGTCTGTTTGATCACCAACATCTTCAAACACCTCATCGCCGGAAATATCGACGACCTCATCTTCAGGAACGTGGCGCTTCCGTTGTATCTCCTCTCTCACACATTCCTCCTCGACTGGCCTCTCCGGATCGTCCTCATTGCCGGTCACAGTTATGAGAGGTATCGGGGGTTTCGCCAGGCTTGCCTCCGACTTCCTGCGCTGGGAAAGGATCGGAAGTGACGGCAGGTGGAGGCTGATCTCTGACTTGCGCCGTTGGATGTTCCGTTTCAGTGAATCCACCAGCGGCGCTGCCAGGGAGACGAGGGACTTGCGACGCTCCTCTAAGCCTGGAACTTTCAAGTGGGCGTCCAGGTCGCCAGTCACCTCACTGTAGTCTTGGCTTGACGGTGAAGATATGTTCAGCATTGACACGGACCTGGGCTGTTCAGCGTTCAGATTGGCAGGATCTGCGAGTGTCTGTGAGGCAAGCAGAAAGCGTTTTGTGTGTCAGAACGTGGAGGAGTCTGTGCGCGCATAAGAACTGGGAGAGTCTGTTACGGCAGAATCTGGGAGTTTGTTACGACAGAATCTGGGAGAGTTTGTTATGGCAAAATCTGCGAAAGTCTGTCACGGCAGAATCTGGGAGAGTTTGTTAGGCAGAATCTTGAAGAGTCTATTATGGCAGAGTCTGGGAGAGTTTGTTAAGGCAGAATCTGGGAGAGTTTGTTACGGCAGAATCTTGGAGAGTCTGTTACAGTAGAATCTGGCAGAGTCTGTTATGGCAGAATTTGGAACAGTACTTACGACAGTCTGGGAAAATTTGTTATAACCGAATCTGCGAGATTCTGTAAAAGTAAGCAGGGATGACTGTGAAAGAAGGAAGATAAGACAACAGGAAGACTAAGAAACAAGAACAAAGAATGAAACGAAGACAAAAGCAATAAATATATGTGAACGGGAAAGAATGAAAACTAAACATAAAGGAAGTAAGAAACTAGAAGGAGGAAACGGAGACAGCCAGAAAAGGTAAAGTTGTCCCTGTGTTTAATTAAATAAGCACAATGCCATGAAGACATATGGAGGAGTGGAGGTATAGCTCCACCATTCTTGACCTCGGAACTAGATGGAGGTGAGTGTTGAGCTTCACGCCCATGCTGCTTTACCCCCGGTATACTTTGGATAGGACACTGGGTGGGCCTTAGAACTTGTCTGGACACTGTGGAAAAGAGACAAATCTTGCAATGCCGGGAATCGAACCCGGCCCGTCCAGCCCGCATCCCACTGCTATCCCGACTATGGGGAGGGGCAAAACCTAGCCACTCCGTCACCTTCTTCCTGGCGCCGCGCTCCTGCAGCAGTTTCTTCATGTCCCCCACGATCTTGTCAAAGAAGTTGATGGCCGCGTACTCTATCATCACGGCGAACACAAATGAGAAGCAGATGATGACAAAGGAGTCCAGCGCCGTCGCGTAGGACACGCGCGGCATCTGGGCGCGGCCGCCGAACCCTATCGTGGTCATAGACAGCACCGTGGTCACCCCTGAAACAACGAAACAAGACGCGCCTAAATTTTAGGCTCTGCCAGCTTCCCAGGAGTTGATTTTATAGGGTTCTGATGATGGTGCAGAACACTCGGGATTCCTGGGGTTGGGACTTTGTGCATTATTCCGTATTCTTAAGAGCATTTCGGAAACTGGATATGTTTCCATCCTCAGATAAGGGGTGGGAGACATCTACTCTGTTGGGTCCCTTACAAAGGTCAAAGCGGTTCAGATTAGCTCTGTTTAAAGAGTCCAGCAGAGTAGGAGCCTTCGCCCTCACATTAGGACGGCAACAGATACAGTTCCCAAAACGGCTTGTTCGTTGGAATACCGGACGATGGACAAAGTGCAGAAACCCAGTAATCCCGAGCTCCTAGGAGTTGTTCTGGGGGCATTCACTTGGCAGCTTACTCATCCCAAAATCTAGTCACTATGATGCCTGCCTTTACCCTCGAGAACTAAAATCCCTGCAATAGGAAACGGGAGCTATGCAGCCTGTGTAAGTCTCAGTAGTGTCATGCGTGTGGAGGGCCTGAAGGCAATAACGGTGGTATCATATAGCCTGGTACCTACATGTAGCAGACTTTAAGCATGCTTTCCTTAACTAAGAAATGTATAAATAAACTGTACGCTGTGCAGTATAAAGCTCTTCCTCTGTTGCTATTAACCTCGCCTTTGTGTGCATGTGTGTGAATGACAAGGGATGTAGGGCGGGAGGAAGGAAGATGAAGATGTACGTATAGGGAAACAAGAAAAAGAAGGAGGAAGGGAAATAAATTAAGAGAAAATGTAAGATAGAAACAAGAAGGTCTGGAAAAACTAATCGCGTACTTTAATTTCATAAGACACGGACCGCAGAGAAAACGACGCTTCCAACAATTCTTCTATTGTTGCCTGTGTATTCGTTGCCGAGGCAATGTTTTTATCGAGGCGTTGCCTACCAAAGATAGGAGGCTATACACAGACTGATGGGAGGGATTTATGAAGTCCGCCGTTGATATGGGCTGAGGTGCCATGATATACACATACCAAGTTTCATAAAGATTTGTTCAGGCATTCAAAGGTTGTTAGGGGGGATACATATAAGTAGACACACAGACAGCATGGTGACCTCGTAAGCTTACTTTCACTTTTTCAAAATAAGGAAAAATGGGTTAAAAACAAAAGAAAATAGAGAAAACGGAAGGAACATAATCACACTGTTATGTTCCATCTGCTGAAGAAACGAGGGCGCTTCATAGTTAAGTCGGTTACGTTACGTCATCATTAGAACGTCATTAAATTCTGTTTTCAACATATTTTTCGGCATTCATAAGCAGATGGGAAATTTAGACTTATTTATAGAGGAATTACTTTCCGTGAGGTTGCCTACACATGGTCCGCAGAGTAGATGGAGTTTACCTAACTGCACTCTGGCAGGCACGGCGGCAGGGTCTATCCAGAAGCTGACCCAGGAGCAGGAGACGATGAGCCCGCAGGGCACGTACAGCTGCAGCACGAAATAGCCGATGTTGCGCCGCAGGTGGAACTCCGCCTTGATCACCGAGTACTCGTCTGCAACACAGTGCCCAAGCAAGACTGGACATTATCAATCGTCCTGTCATCTCGCAAAATTTCAGATTTTAAAAGATTATAGGTAATTTCTCATTCGTTATATTAATCAGGACCCTGTGTGGAGGCGTAACCTCCACCGTAGCCCTCATTCATTCATCGAGTTGAGCCCTTCTTGAGAATTATCCAATTATGCGGATACTGAAGAACTTCCCAGCATTTTATGGAACCCAAAGGTTCATTACCATGTTCACAAGAGCCTTCCACTGGCCCCTATCCTGACCCAGATCAATCCAATCCATACCATCCCATCCTATCTAAGATCTATTTTAATATTGTCCATCCACCTGCGTCTTGGTCTTCCAAGTGATCTCCTTCCTTCTGGCTTTCCAACCAATATGTTACATGCATTCCTATTCTACCCATTTGTGCTACATGCCCTGCCCATCTCATCCTCCTTGGCTTGATCATTCTAATTATACTTGGAGAAGAGTACAAGTTATGAAGCTCCTCATTATGCAGTTGTCTTCAACCTCCTGTTACTTCATCTCTCTTCGGTTCAAACATTCTCCTCAACACACCCTGTTCTCAAACACCCTCAGTCTGTGCCCCTACCTTAATGTCAGAGACCAAGTTTCACATCAATACAGAACCACAAGCAAAATTATAGTTTCGTATATTATAATTTTTGTGTTTTTACACAGCAGACGAGAAGACAAAAGGTTCTGGACTGAATGGTAGCAAGCATTACCCGAGTTCAATCTCCTCTTCACATCACATCCTTCTTGACTTAGTTAGTTAGTTAGTTATTGGAGAGGGTGGGTTTCCCCATACACTTAGACCAGTATTGGTCCATTGTGCTTCCCTCTATGATATTCTACCAGTCTCTATACCCTACCGATATTGGTGCGAAGCATCAGTCCCGACCGAGCCAGCGAGTTCGGCCTCTACTTGCTTGGCGGTATCTATAATGCTTCCCCCATCTATCAGAGGCATTAGAGACTACTGTTGGGCGGGAAACGTCCTTGAATTTGGCTCAGTGACCTCCTTTGGAGATATGAGGTTCTTTTACGTGCCGTAAAGCTACGACACGGGACTCACGGCTTAAAGTCCCTCCCGGAGGACTTGTTCCCTAAAATTTTCCGCCCTTAAAAATTCCACGACCTCCGCCGGGTTTGAACCCGCGTACCACGAGTCATGAGGTGGAACGTTACCTCTAGACTACGAAGGTCGCTTCCTTCTTGACTTAATTATTCTAATAATATCTGGCGAGGAGAAAGAAGTGTGAAGCTGCGCATTATGCAATCGCCTGTTATGTCCACACACCTGCAGGCCTTCCCAAGCAAACTGCACTTACCTGTCTCTCTTACGAACTTGCCGACATGCTCAGTGGTTATGTTGACCAGCTTGTACTGGGACAGCTCCACGTTGTCCTCCACTACGACAGGCCGCACTTTGTCCCACTCGTAAACCAGGTCATTAGTTCGATACCCGTCTGCGGTAAGAGAAATCTGATTAAACACGCAGCAAATTCACTAAGGAAGCTAAAGCTAATTAAAAATTATTAGTTGGCTAACAAAATTAATTACACATAATATATAAATTTCAGTCCGTACCTCACAGGAAAATACATTACGTCACCGCTCCAAAGCCCAACCGGCTAATCTTGTTTAGGGAAAGAGCCGCTGTTTATTGTGAGAACCGTACTGAACACACAAATACACTGTGTGGGCAGATGCAGAGTTTTGGTTATGTTACAGCAGGTGGTACATATAGTAACCACTGGGATTTAAAGAGACAATACATAACATCATGGGTAACGGCATTCTTTGAAAATGCGACGGTAGCTCAGCTGGTGAAGAAATTCCCTACTTCAAATATCCATAACTGGAACTGATCCTGAGCCAGTTTAGCTTGTTACAGCTTCCATATTTTACTATGTTTATTTATTCTATATCTTAATAATCCTGTCAGAAATGATCCTGTCAACGTGATTTTCCGATTTTGTTCTGGTTCTGTTACATGTGTACTGGAGGAAATGCTGGTGCACACAACTCCCTAGAGCCCCCAAGGCAGCAACGCTCCCACTGGTTTGCCCCTCTCTGGGTAGCAACCAATTGCTGGAACCTTGAATTGCTTTCAACGTATTACATAAACATTCGTTCCTCTGATTAATTAATTAAGTACCACGCCATGAAAACGTTTGTAGCAGTAGAGTTATAACTCCACCATTCTTGACCTCGGCACTACATGGAGATGAGTGGTCAGCTTCACGTCCAGGCCGTTTCACTCCCAGGGGAGAAGCCTCCGGTACCCATTGGATAAGGGACTGAGTGGGACCCAGAGACGGTCTGGACGCTGTGGAGCAAGAGAAAAATAATTTGCCCTGCTGGGAATCGAACCCCGTTTTTCCAGCCCGTCCCCGTCGCTATACCGACCGAGCTACCGGGCTCCTAAAGTATACAGGACTAGACTGAATACTTACTATTGGCCAGTAAACTATGTTAATTCAATGGCTGTTATCACAATAAATAGCATAACATGACTAAATGAGAGACAAGAACTTTTAATGAATAAGTAAGTATTTAGCTAAACTGTAATTAAATAATGATGAATTATATAACTGTAGTTTGGTGAAGAGCCGGGATAGCTCAGTCGATATTGCGACTCGCTACGAACTGGATGGTCGATGGATAGGAGTTCTTTCCTCTTCACGTCGTCCAGACCGGTCCTGGGGCCCACCCAGCCTCCTCTCCAATGGGTACGGGGGGCTCTTTCCGTGGGGGTAAAGCTGCAGGGGCGCGAAGCTGACCACTCACCTCTAACTAGAGTCGAGTTCAAGAAAATGTGGAGCTATACAACCACTCTCCCATACGTCTTCATGGCGTGGTGCTTAATTAGTTAAGTACAGGGACAACTTTACCTTTACTGTAGTTCAGCAATTAACCAGCTTAATCCAGTAACGGACAGAACATCCCGTAGTTTCTTGGTGGAAAACTTCATGTATATACGATTTTAATATTATTTTCTCATGTTTCTAGTGTCATATATATATATAATTATATATATGTAGATCACATACCTGGGCACGTATGTACCCTACATTCATAGACACATAAATTACTGTAAATGAATCACCAATTTAAACCCGTGTAGAAGTGTCGAAAGTTCTCTCGTTTTATTTATGATTCCATCCGGGTCGGGTCGGCAGGGAGCCGCGCGGCCTGCGGTGGGTAATTCTATTTCTGGCCACGGCACAGCGCAAGAGCAGGTGGCACATGCGAGCGCCACCTCTACGTCTCGTAGTCGTCCTCCTACCGTTACTGCCTTCCTGACACCATCTTCAACTATCATCTTTTTCTATTTCATTATCTTCTTTACTTCATTCTTTCGTTTCTCTTCTTCTATTTTTTCTTAATTTTTTGTTACCTTTCTCTCTTCTTAACGCTTTTTATCCTGTCTCCAATTCCTTCCCTTCTGTCTTCTACATTTTACATTCTTCATCCTCAAACATTTTTAGCCCACTTTCCTTATTTTGAAAAAATAAAATAAAAATAGCCTTATGCGACCGCCATGCTGTCTGTGCGTCTGTGTATCTCCCATTAACTTCTGAATGCTCGAACCAAACTTTATGAAACTCGGTATGTATATCATGACACCCGAACCTATCTCAACGGTATACTTCATAAATCCCTCCCACCAGTCCGTGTATTCCCCTACCGTTGCTTGGCAACGGCTCCGTAAAAACGTTACCGCGCCAACGAAAACACTTGCAACAATGTTGGAAGCGTAGTTTTCTATGCGGTCCGTGTCGTATGAAAGGAAGAAGGCGATTAGTTATTTCCAGAACTTTTTGTTTCACGTTTCCTTCTTTCCATTCTCCGTTTCTTTACCTTCCTTATCACTCCTCAGTTTGCTGTTCTCTTGGCTGACACTGCGACACAGTACACAGCGGCCAACGCGAGAATGACTGCCGAATTGCAAGCGAAAAGTAAAAAAAAGTAGTCCATACTCTTAACCAATTAAACACTACGCCACGAAGGCGTATGGGGGAGTGGATGCGCAGACCCACGTTTTCTTGACTTCGGCACTAGTTGGAAGTGAGCGATCATCTTCACGGCCCGGCCGCTTTCACCCGGGGAAAGAGCCACCAGTACACACTGGATAGGAGGCTGGGTGGGCCCCAGAAACCTTCTGGACGACATGGAGAAGTGAAAATTCTTGCCCCCATCGGGATTCGAATCCTAGACTCTTTTTCGGTCAGCTTATAGCCAGTAGCTATACCGACTGGGCATATGAGTCTCTTTGGAAAGAAGCGATCGTGGCCTAATCTAAGTACTATCCAGGAATTGGCCTGGTGGGACTGAGGAATACCATGAAATACCTCCATCCTAATAGCCGGCGGCCCGACCGAGATTCTAACAGGGTACCTCCCAAATAAAATTGTAGAGCGTTACCGCTGTGTAAACCTGCTAAGTACATTTTGTTGTTCTCATTATCAATATTGACCTAATAGATGAAATTTCTTAAGAATTCTCTTTTGGGACGTGGCTCTATGAAGACTTATTCTTATATCATGAAGACGGAGGCAGGAGATTCTTCCGAAACGTGTGATACTACTGAGCGTCACGTCCCAGAAGACAGTAATGTTTATAACCACTGCTGTACAAGGAACTTCCTGACCAGCTGAGTGCCGTCTGGGCAGGTTACGTCATTCGTCAGGAAGGCAACCTTGCGGAAGCAAAGTCCCACGTGTTCAAAATGGAACCTAGCAACTTTCTAATGATGACGTAACGACCTACATCACTATTCGGTAACGACGCACCTGCAGGGGTGTTCTAGAGACAGCAAAGACACGCGGTATAAATCCTGACCACTGGCAGGTTACTACACAGCGCTGATTCTCCAAAAGCATTACAGCATAATCAGTGTCCAGTGTTTAGGCATCACTCCACTAAGTAATGTATGTGTCATGGAGGTTAGGCTCCATAGCGGAGTTATCAAATTACATCACGTCAACATTTATACGTATATTCAATGAATCACTTTTGGTTAAACAGATAGGCCTCATATAGCCTGTCTGTCTGTCTGTCTGTCTGCCCGTCCATCCATCCATCTATTGTTTTAGAACTCCTTGGACGGGGAATCAGCCCGTCGCAAGGCCGCTACCTACACAGGAGGACACAAACACAGAATAATCGCACAAATACATCTATGCTTTCTGTAGGACTCGAACCCACAATCCCAGCGTTCGAGAGAGCAAAGGCAGTTCATGTCTCAGACGGCGCGACCAGCCTGATCGCCAAGCCTGACACAATAATCAGGCAAAATTAAAATAAAATAACTTTAAACTCATTGAATTTCAGAAGTACATAGAACATTTAACATTTTCCATGTTCAGATTTCGAGGACGAACATATTTTTTTCTGCAAAGCATCAAGAGATGGCGGGCCAGAGTCTGTTTTCACTGACGTCACACATGCAGCATGTAAACGAATAAGGATTCCTTTAGAAACAACATATCTCGTTTGAAACGTGGAAAGTGTTACTTACAGCTGCCAATAAGAAGGGGACAGCTCTGGGAGTCAAGCGGAAACTTTCTCAGGTGCATGGGACAACTGGCTTTTATCGTCAGCCTGCAAAGCAATGAGCAGTACACAGCCCATGGGCACAATCGGTTGACACAGCCATATTTATACAGCAGGGCTGTCCAGCTTCGAGCAGCTGTGGGGCCACGCTGTACCGTCGCAATATACAAATATATTAATTTTTTTCTAATGTACCAGGAACATGGGACAGAGCTCAACACAACCACAAGTCACCACTCTTCAAAGTGCATACAAAGCGTTGATACAAATCACGAAGGATTGATATCACTAAAAAGGTACAGGAGTAGCTGGGAGGATAATATTAAAACGGATCTAGAAGATGGTGTGGATTTGATTCATCTGACACAGGATAGCGGTCAACGGCAAGCGCTTGTGAACACGGTAATGAAATAACGGATTCAGTAAATCATAGATAATTTCTGGAGTAGGTTCTCTCCTTGGAGTTAATTCCGTTATACAAACAAGTCACACATCGGAATTTCGCAATGTCGCCATGTTGTTACTGGTGGAGGCTGGGAATTCAGAGTAAAACGCGCATGTGCAGTAATTATCTTGGTTTCAGTGCTTCAAGGCAGGAACGGAGAGAGAAAATAGTAGGAATGTAGGTGAAACGGAAAATCATGGACGATAAAGACGTACTACGTTTTGGGAGGGGGTGTTTGTCAGAAGGTTCCCAGGCTTTGCTTGTTAGTCCTTCCTTCCACTGCGGAAGCGAAGACGTTAGGATGGTCAGAAAGTAGTGACTTGAGATAAGGGCCGCGGGTTTCTAATTTGCTGAATTAACTGTGAGTTTTGTAATTTGAGGAAGATAATTTGGTAGCCTTTACAGTAAATCGGTTTCATTTTGATGAATTTAAACCGGAAGGACTTCATGAGAAGTATGCAGTAGCAACTTGGGGACCATCTCAGCATTTACTTAAAGGTGGAGGAAAACCAAGATGGCCGGTCACAGGCACTTCCGGGGTACCTACTTACAACTATGCAGCATTCAGGCAAAAAAGTAGGATGGTAAAAGTACCATCTCCTGGGATGACACCGTGTAGTCCGTTATAATTTCACCGATGTTTCGGAGAAACGTGCCTCCATTGTCCTTGCTTCCTGTTTCTTGCCGGCTTAATTTTCGACTCTGAAGTCATAGGCAGTACGTTCCTCCGAAACGTCGGTGAAATTTAACGGGTCTACATCCCCGGAGACGGTAAGCTTCACAGTCACCTCTGTGAGAACTTCATGCACGTTGGTAACTGACGACCCTCTTAATACAATGTGACGTGCTTGAATCATGAAGTTCTTACCTCATGGAGTACGTGAGAAACCCATCGTTGCGCAGGCGCAGGAACTTGTTGGGAACAGTGATGCGGTGCAAATGGGATTTCTTGCCGTTTAAGAAGAAAGTGTCCGGTTTCCAGACGCGATCTAGGAATAGCCATGACAGGGAGAACTCGTCGAGACCCGGGAAGCTGAACCCCAGCCTCCGGTCATACCAGGACTGCCTGAAGTAGCAGTCCATCACGTATTCCTGCAATGGAGCAAGAACTTCTGTCAACACATCACGCAGGACTGGAACAAAATATAAACTCTCAGTCCACGAGGCAGAACTGAAACAAATATGAACTGTCAGTCCACCAGGCAGAACTGGAACAAAACATAAACTCTCAGTCCAGCAGGTAGAACTGGGACAAAATATAAACTGTCAGTCCCTCAGGCAGAACTGGAAAAATATATAAACTCTCACTCCACCAGGCAGAATTGGAACAAAATATAAACTGTCAATCCACCAGATAGAACTGGGACAAAATATAAACTGTCAGTACCTCAGGTAGAACTGGAACAAAATATAAACTCTCAGTCCACCAGGCAGAACTGAAACAAAATATTAATTGTCAGTGTACCAGGTAGAACTGGAACAAAATATAATCTGTCAGTCCACCAGGTAGAACTGGAAGAAACTATAAACTCCCAGTCCACCAGGCAGAAGTGGAACAAAATATAAACTCTCAGTCCACCAGGCAGAAGTGGAACAAAATATAAACTCTCAGTCCACCAGGTAGAACTGGAACAAAATATAAACTCTCAGTCCACCAGGCAGAACTGAAACAAAATATTAATTGTCAGTGTACCAGGTAGAACTGGAACAAAATATAATCTGTCAGTCCACCAGGTAGAACTGGAAGAAACTATAAACTCCCAGTCCACCAGGCAGAAGTGGAACAAAATATAAACTCTCAGTCCACCAGGCAGAAGTGGAACAAAATATAAACTCTCAGTCCACCAGGCAGAACTGGGGCAAAATATAAACTATCAGTCCAGCAGGTAGTACTGGAATAAAATAGAAACGTTCCACGAGGCAGAACTGGGAAAAAATAGAAACTGTCAGTGAACCAGGCAGAACTGGAACAAAATATAAACTGTCAGCCCATTAGTTAAGTCCACAAGCGGAACAAAAATATAAATAAGTGTTACTTCAGAAGTTGGACTAAAGGCAAGACCAATGAGAAAGAAGTGAGGAAGGAGGAAGAACGGTCTGGGACGACCATGCAAATAGAATGGGTGAGAACAGGTGGCCGAAGATAACATGGAAAGATAATCCTACAGGGCAAAGGAAAATGGAAGATAAAGGCAATGATGTTAAAGGATTCTGAGGCTGGTAGAGATAAAGAATCATTAATCCGTAAGTAAGAAGAAGAGGTCATATATAGGACTTGAAGTTCTTCCAACGGTGGTTACGAAGTGTTCTATCTTCTGAAATTTATCGCAGTGTACGCCCCCGAAAGTCAGTTGACGTTTAGGAAGGATATGTCACCTCTATGTTCAGGGTCGAAGAACAAGTTAACAATGAAACCAGCGTGAGGCAGGCTGCTTGATAGAACAGAACAGAATACCAGTACAGCGCGTCTGAAAAGCACACAACTTCCTGATCCCCCTGTATCACAGCACTCACATAATTGCTAAGGCTCTTACTTGTCTTCACTTTACTTCATTCTGTAAATATTAGGAATTTCTTACATACCTGATCTGTTTCCGATACAGAGCCCATGCTCTTTATGTGCATGTTTACTCTGATAGTCACAGGAGACCCTGGAAAACAGAAAGAATGTAATAGAGCTCAGTTTCGAGGCATTCAACTCACATCCATCGACCGTAACATCAACCTTACTCCTTTGGGTAAGTAACCCATCGCGTCCTTCCATTACTAATATGTACACAAACTGTTTCCTTTTTAGCATACTTTCCTTATGTCGAAAAAAATAAAAGAAGGCTTATGAGATCACTTTGCTGTCTGTCTCCCCCCATTGTTGCTAGGCAATGGACGGTCTGTGTGTCCCTTAATTTTTTCGTTTTCTCTACGGTCCGTCGTTATCGGATCAAAGAAAGTAGGCTATTAGTTCTTCCCAGAACTTCTTGCAATTTCTCATATACGCAATATAGACGCATATTATAAGGTGGTACTGTGACGATGAAACAAATCTTTCTTGTGATTTACATCAATTCACAAGTTCTCAGCCCCCCCCCCCCGACCCAGTACGAAAACACTTCTTCTGGAACGTCGTTTCTCTGTTTCCGCCCGAATGCTTAGACGAATTTTACTGATATTCGGCACGTAACATCACAGGTCGGTGGGCGGTGGGTATGGACATCCCAGTTCCAAAATTATGGTTCCTTCACAGGGGAAATAATTTCTTGAATATGGCTTGTAACGTTTTTAATTAAACTTCACTTATATATGGTACCTCAGTAGGTATAGCGACGGTCTACGGGTTGGACAGCCGGGGTTCGATTCCCGGCAGAGGCAAGAAATATTCTCTTCTCCACAGTGTCCAAACCTGTTCTGAGGCCCACGCAGCTTCCTATCCAACGAGTACTGGAGGCCTTTTCCTCGGGGGTAAAGCTGACCACTCACCTCCATCAAGTGCCGAGGTCAAGAATAGTGGAGCTATAACTTCACTCCCCCATACGTCTTCACGGCGTTCTGCTTAATGAATTAAGCGCAGTGATAATCGTTACGCAGAGATCGCCTTCCTAAAGAAAATCAGTGCATGTCGCTATACCGACTTTTTGGTTCACTGTGGTTTATATACGCATCTATACGCAGTACACATGCACTCGAGCGGTAGCGTGACAGATGAACGATGAATTGTAAAGGATTTGGAAGGAAGCGGTGGTGGCGGAAATCGAGACACAATCCTGACGTTTATCCGGACAGACTGAGGAAAACCACGAAGTATCTCATTCAGGATAGGAAGTATCCCAGCCGAGATTCGAAAACAAAACATCGTATTTATTCAGAAGAAAATAACTGCAAATTAAGTAATTAAGTCACTGAATAATCAGGTAACTAACTAACAATCTGAATAAATATCTGATTGATCAGTTGATCCACTAAGCTACACTCGAACATATGTATCACCCTAATTCCTAATTAATTATGTTTTAATTTGATCGGTACTGAGTCACTGAAACTAATTCATTCAAGCGGACCCATCGCGTTAGGTCTCCTCACTTTTTCCTGAAGAAGGAAGCTGCTTTGCAGATTATTAAGCTTACTTGTGTCCGTATTATTCAGGGCATCTCACCTGCAGCGGAAAACAGAACACATCAGATAATTTTGTGTTGGTCATTTAACGACACTGTGTCTGTGCTGTACTGCTTCTAATGGTTGGATGAAGGATGGTTGAAAATTTGGAAAGGTTTACAACGCAGTCATTTTAGCCTAAGTGAGAAATTTGTCTGGAGTGACTGAGGAAAATTATAAAAATCCTCATGTCCCAGCTGAGATTAAAACCGAGTACCTTCTGAATAAGGGGGCACGCTATAGCGTAGTTGGTTGAGGCACTATGCTACAAGCCGGAAGGTCGCGGGTTCGAGTCCCAATGAGGTGAACTTTTCAATTGACCTAATCCTTCCAGCCGCACTATGTCCCTGGGGTCGACTCAGCCCTTAACAGAAATGAGTACCGGGATCTTTCCTGTGTGCGGGGGGGGGGGGTAAAGGGCAGCCGGCGCGTAAGGCTGACAAACTGACATCTGAGCCGATTTTATAAAGATATGGGAGCCTCGATGTCTCATAACTATGGGTCTCCACGGCCTGTTACAGGGATAGCTTTACCTTCCGTATCGGAGCATAGTGTTACCTCTAGACCAGCCCATGGTCATGTATAAGACAAAACGAATATAATTCATAATGCAAGAGCACAGCAATTCACAGCATCAGATTTCAACAATACTGTGTGACTATGGGACACGTGAGAAAGTCTGTATGGGTCTATGTAAGGTAAAAGGGTAAAAAAGGCAAAGTTGTCCCTGCGCTTAACTAATTAAGCACTACGCCGTGAAGACGTATGGGGGGGTGGATGTATAGATCTCGGCACTATTTGGAGCTGAGTGGTTAGCTTCATGTCCTTGCCGCTTTAGCCCTGAGGAGAAGCCCCCAGATACCCATTGGACAGGAGGCTAGGCGGGCCCCAGAACCGGTCTGGACGACTTGGAGAGGAGCGAAATCTTGCCCCTACCGGAATTCGAACACCGATCTCTCAGCCGTGCAGCCCGTAGCCAGCCGCTATCCCGAATCCATATCTAAAGTAGGATTTCTTATAGATCACCATGGCTGAAACTCGCTCTGTTGAAGGTCTCCAATATCGAATTTCAACAGAATGTGTCCAGCGGTTTGCATGCCGATACTCGGGCGCAGGCGGATAGACACAAGGTCTGCAGGAAGATACATTTAATTTGTAAACAACGCCTGAAAGCTATGTAGAATGATGGATGATGGGGTAAGTAATCTTACACAGAGAGAGATGAGGCGCGTTAAGATTGTTATAAGCTGGATTGAGATATTTGTAAGTCTGAAAATTAAAGACAAGAACTTACCACCAAAATCTGGCCTAATTCCTTTGTCGTATCGACTCTTGTTTAGAAGTTGATCGAGTGTTGATGTGATGTTTTTCGATAGAAAACGATAATCTCTGAGGACAGCGCCACTTGGATCCCAGAGCGTCGTCAATACCCCAACAATAGACAAGATGGCGGCCACTCGTGCTATCATGGTGTCTAGAGAAGACTTCACTTTCACTTTCGGTCAAGACGAAAGGTCACTACATCATAATCACGACCGACAGATATTCTCATTTCTGCATATATCAAAACCGGAAATAGCTTCATTTCTCAATGCATCTGAAAATTATGAACAATGCATGATGTTTTGCAGTTATATTTTAGATTTCAGAATATTAAATTCGTTTCAGAAAATAATTTCGTAAAATATCAAGAAATTGTGGAATATAATAACAATAATAATCATAGTGACAACAACGGCACCAACAATGACTATGGGAATAGACATCAAACTATTCGATATCTCGAAACGTTTGAAGAACAATTCGATAAATAAGGAAAACGGTAATAGGAGAATATTATTTTATTTGACGTGACACCGTGTAGTCGGGAAGAAGTTCACTAACTTTTCACTGGAATACACTGCCTCCATTTTCAGGGACAAAGAGAAAGACCAGCAAGCAGCAATCATTCTGCTTGTTTATTTCATGAGCTTACTCTTCGGCCATTAAAATGGCTGCAGTATGTTCCTCCGAAACGTCGTTTAACCCTTTACCGGGATGCAGAGCGTCATATCCTAGAATATACTACTCTTCATAGCGAACTTCGTGAGAATACTAAACAATAGTATTCAGAAATAGAAAAAAACGATTAATTTTTATATGTGCCCACGGAAAATGTAACTGTTATTAACACTTCCACCGTAAGAACACTGTCAAACTCTCCATTACATAAATAGAACATTTTTGGATTTGGTTTATTGGTGTGCCCACTACAGTCATTACGCAGGTACGCGTGTCTATGAAACAAGTAATATAAAGATATTACCAAAGTTATTACCGTTACGTTTATGCTACGAATATTTCAATCGTTTTCAGACACCGAATATAAAAAGTGCACGAACTGTAGACTGACATAAGATCCAAAAATACTGAGATATCACACGTTAAATTTAATCTACAAATCCAACAAAGTGAACATCACCAAAGCGTTGTATTGTTGAATATATCTAACGATTTAAGTCACAAAAACTATCATTCGTAGCCAGAAGGACTAAACAGACTTCGCTCAACGCTGAATATATCCTAAGTTCTGGCCTGGTCGAAGTTTAAACTCGGAGAACGCTTTGAATGTCCCCTCCCCCACCATCAGGGCCCATGGAGGACTTCTTGTGGCATTTAAAAAATGGGGAGAGTAGGGAGAGAGAGAGAGAGAGAGAGGGAGAGGAGATTTTGCCAACGTGAGACTCCTCAAGGCAAGCAGCCAAAATAGTTAATAGGGAAACAGGTGCGTCCTGGGCGTGCAAGAACCATTCACACTGTCTTGGCATCTGCATACGGACATTACACAAAAAGGAAAAAATTATGAAAAATAAGATGACGCTGCATTCGAAATTGTCATATATCTTACAGGCTATAAAAATGCTTTAACAATTGTAATTTTTCATACTCAGCACATTTGTACATATTTTCCCGTGAAGGAGAGACTCTCGATGGGTTTTGGATTTCATATTGGATCTCCTGACCACTTATACGCACAAATCGAACTACAAGTAATTACAGCGCCATCGCTAATCTCCACACTTTATAAATCACCACAGCACACGCCAAGTCTTTTCCAGCCGTCCTCTGTTAACGGCTTCTAACAGTGAAGATTCTTCAGTTTCCGCGCTCAAGTCCTCTCTCAATGGCGGCTCCCTTCCAACTGCCTCTCTTCTTCACAGACTCCCTTACAGAACTGACTTGGTTGCCCCAGTTGTCTTCCTTGTAACTCCTCGGCACGGACCACCGTAGAAAACCCCGTTTCGAGCAGTANCCGTTTCAGAGTGAACATTTTTACCGAGCCGTTCCGTCGCAACGGTCGTCTACTCTTGCTTATTAAAATCTAGCAGCGAATGTTGTTTCGTTGTTTGTTCCGCAGTCGCTGCCTAGAAACAGGTTTATACGCCACAATACGTTCCTTTATTAACCCTTTAAAACAAAATGGTAACTATCTACCCTTTGCTTTCTGATACTAGAACTGTGCTTCCTGCCCACGCAGGGTACAAGTATTTGTGTGTTCCCTATGGTTCTCACAATAAACAGCGGACATGAAATATTACGGAAATAAACTTCTAAATACGATCCATGGAAATATACTTTTGACCAGAATATCAATATTAAGCGGGTCCTGCCTAAAATGGTTAAAAACTTATTACCTAATGTGAATTAAATTCTGTTCATAAGCAACCAGGCTAGTGAGTACTGCTTGGGCCCCGGACATCTGAAGCACTGGACAGTCGTTTTAGGCTGTCCCCGCCCCCAAAGCACACAATTTCTTTCTCTGCTTTCTATGCTTCAAATGGTTAAGCACTGCAGACAACTTGGTTCAGCGCAGGGATCGGCCTACGGGCTGGATCCTCTGGAGCTCGCTCTGATGGAACAAGAAGCACTCTGTTGTGTGTGTGGTCATGATGCGTTATGGGTCAGAAGGAGATCAGTCAGTGAACAGGGCGCGCGGCCTTTGTGTTTATCGAGTCGAATCTCATGTTACGACCGACGGTCAGTCGGCCACTATGTCTTGGAATAGAGCACCCATCTGAAGACTACGATCAGATTTTTATTACTGTCAGACTGTCGCGGGTTTGATGTGGGGCGCTCTCTCTGACGAGAGGACGGATCTATCGTTTACAATTGCTGCTAGTCCTCGCCAGCGCAGTCATTCTCGGCTCCGAGTTCCGTGCGACTCGCGACCATATTTTATTGTCTCAGATTCGATACTTCCCCTTTTGTCGCATCCTACGACTCTCAGGGCTACGGTGGAGGTATTCGACCCATCCTCCACACGGGATTTTGTGTTTATCATGGAACAAAATAATATATAAGAATGCAGTCAGTACCTCACAGGAAACACATCACATCTCTGCTAGAAAGCCCAACCAGTTAATGCTGTTCAGGGAAAGAGTCGCTGTTTATTGTGAGAACCATACGGAACACATAGATACACTCTGTGGGCGGACTGCAGAGATTTAGTGTGTTAAAACTGGTGGTACATATAATAACCACTGCCTTTTAAATGGTTAAAGATGTTTGTTTGAAATCTTCCATGGCAAACTATAGCCTGTATCGATAGAAAGCTCGAACTTCAAAGCGACAGCAGAAGACGATTAATATTATGACTTAAAAGCAACCAGGTCAGATGAGCGCGATTTCAAGACGATTTACAACTATCGTGGCAAGTGGAGTGTTCAATACAGAGTTTGTGTTTTCCAACGGAAATTATCCTAAAGGCGGGAATAGCGACATGGACGACAGCCTAAATGTAGGCCAATGTTTGTGTCGGCGTTGCTTATTATAGTTGGTTGAATCACTCCTTCAGCACGAAGCAAATTGATCCCACAAGATTGTCGGTAATACCGCTCAACAGAATGGCTATCACACTGACCACATCTTAGAGCTGAACAAGAGCGTCTTGTGTTCGGTTTGGCATGGATTCGAGTACTTGCTGCCCACACGGTGTGTCTATCTATTGGCAGAACTAAATGCTGAGTAACAAAATTGGAACAACTTTCAGCCTGTCAGAGTATATACGTGAATTCTCAAAACATAACATGACATGGCAGTATATATATATATATAGCGCATACATTTTTCCCAGTATGTACAAAAAGGGCGATATATTTTGCCATCCTCAGGCACTAAATTATCTGAACACACGAGAAAAAAATCGAAGTCAAATTCACATTGCGACTGACGGTCATGCAGTCAGTCAGTAAGTCTTGGTGTCGAGCTCCATCTGAAGCTCATGACCAGATATTTATTAATGTTTGACAGTTACGGTCTTGTTTCTGTGGGGCGCCATTTCTGACGAGAGGACGGGTCTGTCTTTTGTATATGCTGCTGGCCCTTGCCAGCGAAGTCTTTCTCGGTTCTGAGTCCCTTAGTACTCGCGACCATATTTTACTGTCTCAGATTTGAGACTTCCCTTTTCGTCGCCTCCTACGACTCGCAGGGTCACGGTAGAGGTATCCGACCCCGCCTCCAGACGGGTGAACTGTATCATCCAGAGTAAAATATATTTATTCTAATACACGTATATAAATCCAGTCCGTACCTCATAGGAAACACATTACTTCTCCGCTACAAAGCCCAACCGGTTAATGCTGTTTAGGGAAACAGTCGCTGTTTATTGTGAGAACCATACGGAACATACAGATACACTCTGTGAATAGTGTTTTAATAAGTTAAAGCAGCTGGTACATACATTAACCACTGGACTTTAAACCGTTAAGACACGTATACATCTAATGTTTATGCAACTCAGCTTAATTCACCGATTGGCGTGTAAGAACCGGGGAGAATTCAGCGGGAAGTCCCGTCACGTGTTAAACAAGCTTTCCTCCAGGCTAAGGGCTTCCCTTCCAGACTCTCTCCAGGCCGCCTCTTAACCAAACGAACAGTGCGGGAACTATCTTCGAATGCAAGGCGGCCGGAGCCTAAAGCTGTTCACCCACCTGCAACACCTGATAAGGTTCACATTGGGTACTGCAATGTGTCCGGGAGCCTTAAACGTCTTCACCTTGGTGCATAGACACAGGGACAACTGTGAAACTTAGGATTAGAAACCAAGCAAACTAGAATGCTTCTTTGTAAATTTAATGACGCTTTATCATGTAGCTCATTAACTAACTCCATGGAACAGAGTCTTTGTTGAGAAGCTTACAGTCGTTCAGCTATTCAACTAATTTCCAATATTTTATAAAATCTAAAAGTTCATAACCTCGTTCACTAACAAGATCCCACTACTGATACCTATTCGTTCATTTCCCATTTTAATATTATCGTACCTTCTACGATTAGATCTTCCAGCGTGATGTTTTCAAGCTACTGAGCCAAGAATCTTTCTCAGCTTCAAAATTTATGTACCACTGAATGTGAAGGCAATTTGGATGAATCTGTAAGGAGGCGGTTGTGGTCTCTTTGAGGCAACAAGAAGCTTGTTACTGTATACTTCTACTAGAATACACGGCGTTATATCTCAGAAGAAAGTATTCTTCGCCCAATAAAATGATTGAAAGCAAATATATTATTTTTGAAGATCAAAATGACCACTCAAAGGGGAACGAAGCTTTTTGATTTGAGAGTGTTTATGGCACCGGCCCATTTGACGTCTCGTATTTCACTCTTGAATTGAAAAACTCACGGAAAAAAGAAGATGGCGGCACTGTTTCTTCTGAGTATTATAAACATGAACACTGAGACGACTAATCAGAAGCATGGCTCAAACGGGGCCCAGATACTGAAGCGTTTCTTACAGGACACAGATCGGCCAAGGAGAGCATAAAAAGAAAGGCAGAACGAAGGAAATAGAAACACAGCAAAGACGATAGCTAAAATTAAAAGAGGACATAAAAATTACGTCAAGTTGCAAAGAGAGTAGATCAGGTGTAGCTTCTGGGCCGTGCCAGGCCACACGGTAATATGCTCGCCCGCTACAAGTTGCCGCGTCATTTAGAAGACAAACAGTTTCTTCTGATTCATTTTGTTTCTATGGTAACCGTCTTATTAGAATTGAAACAATGAAAAACGTAGTTACGCTAAAGTGTCAACAGATGTCAGGACAATAGCTTTAAAGTGGTAGAATGTAATTAATTAATTAAGCACCACGTCATGAAGACATCTGGGGGGAGGTGGAGGTATATCTCCACCATTCTTGATCTTGGCATTAGTTGGAGGTGAGTGGCCAGCTTCACGCCCCTGCCGCTATAGCCCCGCAGTACCAATTTGATAGGAAGTTGTGTGGACCTCGGAGCCGGTTTATAAAACAGATACACAGAGCAACGGAACTAGAAATTTCGTTATTAACAATGAAACGAAAAGAAATACTATTAAAGGGATGACTGACGTAGGGGTGAACGTCTAGACATGTTTTCGGGAGGCGTTCCATTCGACGTTCGGCCGGGACATCAGCTATCCTTACTGAATAATTTTCGTGGTTTCATTTCCTCTGGGAAATCGAATGCATTCAAAAACCGCTGTCCGGCTTAAAGAATGTTCTCCAAAAGCTTCACGGAACATTTCAAGGATTTCGGTAGGAGATTTACCGAGCTTCACGCAAAACTTGATGCAGACACGTTGCTCGATTTTGCCATCCATCGCAGACAAAACGAAACACAAAGTCGAAAAAGCGCTCGTGTAAAAACAATGCATGTACGCAACGCGGTGTCACGTGGCAGACTGATGCAATAGGCTTGCGGAAGTGTGACCTTGGCTTCCCCTCTCATTTTCTTTCACCGACGCGGTTACAACTATAACAGTCCGGGAACTCTATTTGAACATAAATAATAATGTAGAGGCCCATATGCTTAAGCCTGTCTGAATAAACCCCTCAGGAACTTTATACCACTCGTTATTGCCAGTTGGCAATACTGATAAAACAAATGGAATATCGGCGAGAGAGTGCTGCGCGTGTAGTTCTAGGTTGCTGAAATTAGACTCATGTAAGTACGGAGGATGCTTCCTAAGGGCAAGACAAGGCAAGCTAACGGCTAGCATACTCGTACCTTCCAGGCAGATCCTGGGACGTATATTACTGGCTCTGATACTTCCTTAATTTTAGATTCCCTTACTTTAAATAAAGAAGTTTCGGTCCCATCTAACTTTTAAAATATATAATAAAAATTAATTTAGAAATTAAAAACAATTACCAACAATCTTAATGATCTATATTATAGTATGTGTATATACAAAAACACCAGTGTAGCACCCGTTAAGAATTCAACGGGCATTCTCATCCTTTGTTATACAAGCTTTCCTACTGTTAACTTGCCCTTTTCCAGCCCTACACGTTATCGACTGATGTAGCGAGGCCGACGCTTAACACCATCTCCCACTAACAACACACACAACCAATTAACCGTAAAGTCCCCTTTATATAGTACATTACACTTCACATATCAACATACAAAGTTTTCAGTACTCACAGAATAGATACGATACACCGAAACAAAAGGTACTCGCTCGTTAGTCACTACTCCATAATTCACGTTCGTGCAACTTGTTAACGTTGCTGTGGTAGCCGGAAAAGGCTATTAATGGTAAAACCACGCTTACAGAACGATGTGAAAGGAATCTGTCGTAGCCTAATTTCAGATACTACTGGAGCATCTGCGTGGGGGAGTGGCACTGATGAAGACCATAAGCATGCTCAGTAAGAGTCGGGATTCGAACTGAAAGTCTCCCGAATACAAGTTCAGAACGTTGCCGCTACACCAGCCTTTTCGGTCAATGATTCCGGTTTATAAAAACGAAATATGTGGTCTAGAGTCTCTGCAGACGGGTTCAACTCTGCGACCGAGATATTTCGTTAGAAATCGTCAACCCTTTCGGCCATGATTTAATTTAATAATTGATAAAATCAGTAAAATAAAATCTCGCACCATGTCTCCACGGTTAAAGCGAAAGAAAAGAAAAAGATCGGAATTAATGCGAAATAAAAGAAAGACAGCCAGAGAGATTCAGAAGACAGAGAATGTCATAAGGAGTTCTGCACCCCACAGAACATCTTCAAGGGCAGAGCATATAAAATCAATTGACAAATTCTATAAGAATTCGCGAGACAGTGTCACCCAGATGGAAGCACATGTCCTTCTTCAGGATACAGTGGCGCCTCTAATACCGAGATGCGGAAGGATTGTGAAACATTTTTGGCACAATTTTCATCCCCTCCTTCAGATATCCGCACATGCGCAGTATAGAGGCTAAACCCCACACATCTGAACAGTACGAGATTCTGCGTGATGCTACACATAGGGTTCTTATTTCCGTCATAATCACGGCTATTTAGATCCTGCAAAAAAATAAAAGTATCAGGTAAATTAGCGCGTGTAGATCTAATTCATGTCTTTACAAATGTCTCGGAAAGAATCGGTGTATTTGGATTATCAAATCACGTGAAATTTAACGGGCCTCATAACAGCGAGGCATAAGTGGTACACTGTACACAATAATGGTGATATTAACGGAAGAAATTCCATTCATATGGTTCGTTCTAATGACGACATCGTTATCAGCAGTCTGGACCGAGGCTATAAGGTAAGTAAACACAGTGATTAACACTTTTGATTTCAGTTACATAACATATAACAATCCAGTTCGTACCTCACAGGAAACACACACGTCTCCACTATAAAGATCAACAGGTTAACGTTGTCTGGGGAAGTGATCGCTGTACGAGTGTATTCTGAAAAGAATATGGATTATATACACGTGTGGGCAAAATTTAGAGGATTTTTATATTAAACCGGGTGGTGCATATAGTTACCGCCGTGCTTCGAAGGGTTACTTTTACTTACCCACAAGAAAGTATGAAGGAAATATTCACAAGTACTAATATTAAAGGAAATTAGCTGTCTAAATTACTCGTAGTTATTCAGTTCCTGGAGTTGAGATTTTCATAGCGGTGACTAAAAACGATACTATCCTCTTGAATGTAACGCCGTGTAGGTCGGTAGAAAGACAGCGACGTTTCGGAGGACCATACTGTTTCTATCTTCAGGGACGGAGAGTAAGTCAAGGAAGAAACCAACGAGAAGGCGACAAGCAGAGCTTGGTTACATTGTGTGTAACGTACAGTGAAGATGGAGGTAGGTTCCCTCGAAACGATGGTACTTATATACTGAACTACACGGCGTCATACCAGACTGCTCTAGCGATAACGCTGTACACTCGTATTCCATTAAAATCTCGGCCGGACATTGGTATTCCTCAGACCCTTCAGGCAAATGCCATGTTAATATCTCGATTAGGCCATTTCCGCTACCTACCAAATCTCTTCCAATTCATAAGTCATCAAGTCATCATAAAATCAAACGCTATGTTGTCTCAGTAATGAAAGCGTCATTAAATAACCAACTAAGAGAACCGAACAACGTCACATCGCAGGTGATTGAATGTCGATATACACCGCGACGGCAAGAAGTTAGCTGCAAGTATCTTGTGTTAAATATTTAAACTGTTGTCAGATATAACCATCATCTGTGCAGACGCCAATGCTACACTCGCTAGCATGTGTGCCAAGCCTCCTACGATTTGTCCGTTACATGTATATTTAGAAAGAATTAAAAATATGCACCAAAAATAGACGAAACGCATGTTTTGGGGATCAGGTCTCATCTGTTTCTCTGCAGTATTACATTTCTCGTCTTAGAACTGGTGGGTCGTTAAGACGGGTAGATTGTGACAGAGCACCGCCCCTTCTGGCTTCGCAGCCAGACGAACAAACAAACAAACAAACAAACCAAAAATCGCGATTAAGAGGGTTAGACAATCTCCTACAGGTGCCAGGTTCAAATCCCGCCTCCAACACTGGCTGACGAAGTTATATTTATAGTCCTTCTTCTTAGTCCCTTGAGAAGAATTCCGACAGTACTTTTAATTAGGCCACGACCTCTTCCTTATACAAATTTCTAATTCAATGTAAGATTTGAGGTTTTCACGGCGGTGACTATGAAGAATGCCGTCTTCTTGGATGTGGCGCCGTGTAGATCTTGTGTGAACCGACGCGTACGTTCCTCCGAAATGTCGATTCACATTAGATCTACTCGGCGTCACATTCCAGAAGACGGCATTCTTCCAATTCATTATTCATAACTCATCCCACCATCCGTCACTGTGTAGTCTGAGCTACTGACTGCGTCGATAAACCACCCACGAAAAATAGGGACTTGAAGAAGAACTCGTAAGTTTATAATTTCCTGTTGGATAAGTTTCTATTAGTGTTGTGCGTGACTTACAGACGGGGTTTGTATTGTTACTACACTTCACATACATCGTGCCTTCTCTTCCCCTCAGCTTTGACCGTCACCTTAAGAGACCCTCAGTTCTCTGCTGCAACTGGCAACTCTCTTGCAATTCCGGAACTCAACCGATTCTTGTCTGAGTCTGAGTCTGAGGTTACGACCGACGGTCAGTCGGCCAGTCTATCTTGCAATAAAGCACCCATCAGCAACATAAATTAAGTGGCGCTAGTGTTATTTTCACATCGGAAGTTCTCACATCCGCCATTTTGTTATTAGTGATTTTAGGAAATTAAAAAGAATACGACATCGGGAGTAACATCCGATAACGTGACGTTCATACCAAGTTCCGTGAAAGTCGGTCAACTGGTTCAAAACGTAATACCGACACAGCATGTTTAAAAGAAAAATAAAAGATAGAGAAATAAATGATGCTGAGGTTTGCAGCAGACTGTGGAAACTGAGAGCTAAAAGTCCGTTTTAATATCGATTCCATTTGCCAAGAGGTTCAGCCAGTATGTAAACACTAAACACTGGCACGTGTCCACTTCAGTCCGCACTGTTAGATGCACTTCGGGTCATTAGCGGCAATAAATAGGTGACGACACAAGAGGGAACCACTCAACACACTGACATAGCAATAGCGCTCTTGGATGTACTGTGTTCGAATCTCGGGCGGGAACACCAGATATCATGACCTACATTTCTTCATGGCTTTCCTCAGTCCCTCCAATAAATTCGAGGTTCAGTAACTCGGCTATGTCACGAACACTTTCCTTTCCTTTCCCGTTCTTCTATCGTCCTAGTCTACGCTACAGAGTCTGGACAGTGATGGTCATGGAATTTTAAGATTTCATGCAACCTGAAGACACACAATCGTGTTTACTACAGCTCGCCTGTCCTGAAATAACTGAATGCAGTCCAAATTTCCCCATCTTATTTCTGTAATATCCATTTTAATATCTGTTACACCGTGATGACAGGGGGCATGGAGGTACCCCACAGCTGTCACCCTATGTTATGGCGCGAAGGGGGCGTGGAGCAATCTCTCAACCTCTTCCGCCATCCATGCCGTTGCGCCCTTGGGGAATGGCCAGTTGCAAGACTTAGCACTTGGTACCTGACTCGTTAACTATCTCTTGGCTATGAGTTCACAGTCCCGATAACACAGGGAGGTACGGGAGAACGGGGAAATAGAGGGTGTGACTGGGGGTAAGTCATTAACACCACACACCCCTTCACTCGGTCTACTCTCGTCTACTAATATATATACACTTTATACATATCACTTTCATGGCCGACAGTGGCCGGTTACGTACACATTGTAATTTGGATAACGATGCACTTGGGTTCACCATCCCTAGCTTTCGAGGTACTTCCTACGTCCCCACTCAGGGCCTACTCTCTCTGCCCCAACCCTGTAACATGACACTTTAATAATATCTCACTGTATATCCATGACTGATATGAACAGTTCGACTTACTTGGTGTAGGAAGCTGATGGTGTCCCTCACTTGGTCTGGCACGACCATGGTTCTGGCTGGCTACTACACTCAGTTACGATGATCAAAAGATTGATTGTTTGATCCGAAAAGATTCCATGATCGATTCAATGATAGATTCAATGATAGACTCTCTCCCAGTTGCGTCCGCAACTTTATAACCTTCCCCCTGCTGACACCTGTCTTTGGGGTAAGCTCCGCCTCTTCACTAGAGCGAATTTTCCCCCAAGGGTCCGTCTCTCGTTGGTCAGCTGGGTAAAGAGGGTTGGATCTCCTCAGGCCGTCTCGCTGAGTCGGCATTGTGTACGCCTTGGCCGTACAGCCGTTTTCAGTCTCTTCGCGTGAATCAGCGGTCTAAGCAACGCGACAATTTCCTGCTGACGTCACTCTTCTGCATTTTTACTTCAAACGTTACCCTTCGTCTAACTTCTCTACTGGGAACCCAAGATAACTTAATACCTAAAAGTTACAAAAACCCTTGCCGAAATTCTACGGCATTACAATATTATCCGGAGATAGACTAGATCTATCGATTGGGTCCAACTGAGTAGGTTTTACCTGAAGACGGAGACAGAATCCAGTCTCCGAAACGTCATGTGCCTTGAGATATAAACAGGACTAAGGATAATGTCCAGAAACAATATCTGTATTAATGTATCATCGTCATAAACTTCTAGATCTTCTCCAGGTTTGAGCCTGAGCTTCCAAACTGATCTTATTATCTTCAGTTGATACAATCAAAATTTTGTTATGCATTTCTTATCTCTCCCTTGCGTACTGCATGCCCCAGGCAACTTATCATCCTTGACTCAATACCACAATGAGATTACACACTATGAAGCTCCTCAAGATGTAATTTTCTCAACCATTCTGTCATCCCTCCCCCCAAATTAAGTCTAAGTAAGAATGTATCATTTTCGGATACAGTAATTTTCTGCTTGCTTATTTTACAGCGCCGACAGTAGCTTAGCTTATTTGGCGTCGAGTGGTGAGGTTGGGGAACAAAGGCGTCGTGGGCTAACCGACGTAGTATCCAGGCAGTTGCCTGTGGGGTTGAGGAAGACCAGGAAACGGCCAAAACAAGATAGGTGGTGTTCTAATCGACACTCAAACCCAGCACCCCCGAAATATAAGTCTACAGTGATACCGCTACGACAAAACTGCTCGGTACGACATAATGAAAAAAAAAAAGATCTGTGGAAAATCAATTTACAAATGGAAATGAATCAGTGATAAAATGAAGGTATTAACATAAGTAAGGATTCTGGAGTTGGGAAAATCCTTGGGTCTCCAGTCTTCAGGTCTGCCGTCAACCTGTAGTTCCGTGCGGGTGCGAAACTTTGTCTCTCAGGCTGAGCTACGGGGGAGCATCTGAACTCGAAGGGCGGAAGCAACAGCAGCTTGGTGTCTCGTATGTTTATCAACTCAACTAGAATAGGATGGGCGTGGCATGTAGCATGCGTGGGATGGTTGCGAAATTCACGCAGAGTTTCTTTGGGAAAATATTGAAGGGAAGATACCACTTAAGAGATCTTGGCATAGATGGGAGGATAATACTAAGATTGATGAGGGAGTATGGTGGGAATGAGTCGAAGGGATTATTCTGGCTAAGGGCAGGAACCAGTGGCGGATTCTTGTGAATATGGCAATGAAATTTCGGGTTCCAAAACGCTATGAATTCCTTTTACTAGCGGGGTAACACAACTTTTAAGGGAAAGTACAATATAATGAAGTTAAGTAGTTATAATGCCAATTGATAATCTAACTTAAAAAAAAATATTAAATTCAAGTTGAAATTCTACTACTATTCATCTGACTTTCGATCCGACGGAATTTGGCAATTTTAAAATTGACCACTGTGAAAGAAAATAATTTTTTTCTCGCTGCTCCATGCAATGTAATGTTTATATTATTGATTAGTTCTGGAAGATAAAAGGTAAAGTTGTCCCTACGCTTAATTAAGCACTGCGCCATGAAGATATATGGAGGAGTGGAGGTATAGCTTCACCATTCTTGACCTCGGCACTAGATGGAGGTGAGTGGTCAGCTTCACGCTGTGGTCCCTTTATCTTCGAGGAAATCTTCCCCCGTATCTGTTGGACAGGAGGCTGGGTGGGTCGCAGAGTCGGTTTGGACGGCATGGAGAAGAAAAAATCTTGTTCTGCCGGGAATCGAACACGGGCAGTCAAACCTGGAGCTATACCGACATATATTTTTATTTGAAGGAAACAAATCTAGGGCAAATGAAAGCTATTAAAGGACGAGCGCATACGTTAACTGTTTCGTTTGTTTCCACAGCAACGAGCAGCAGAAGCAGCAGCAACAATCCCAGTCGGACCGCCTAGAGAACGTGACCCAAACGATCTCCAGACTGTTGCAAGGGTACGACATTCGGCTGAGACCGAACTTCGGAGGTGGGTCTTGCATGACGTAGTTAATCAATAAAACACCCTAACTTTGGGCCCAACCAACTGAGGCATGGGCAGAGGTTGAGACATCATGCGGTCGAAGGTGAACATATTAGCACGAAGTTAGGGCGGTACATTACGACACCCGGTTCCAGTTCATATGCTGAAGCTACAGGGTGATTCATTCTAATAAATACAAGTATATCGGGATAACTCTATTGCAGAGTTGCTGAAATTGGTTTCCTTCCGCCTGGAGACACAAGCCAGTACGAAATTCCTTTTCGCAAATAGTGTAACTAACTGCATGAGGAGTGCGAATCGGGCAGGCAAACACGGGGCCAGAGTTTCCAACGTTCGTCATCCGTGAATATAATTATTAATACGGGGTCTCCTCTGAAAGGATCACCCTGTAGCAGAAAACATAAGTTAACAGTCCAAAAATTTAGGGATACCATTTTGTGTGTAATTAGTATATATTAAAACCACGTTATTTTTGTCAAAAAAAAAGGTACTTTCAACACGCTATGAAGGTGCATGAGGGAGTGAAGTCATAGCTTCGCCATTCTTAACCTCAGTACTAGATGGATGTGAGTGGTCAGCTTCACGCCCCGACCCCTTAACCACCAGGGGGGGAAAAAAAGTCCTTGGTGCCCGGAGTATAGGAGGCCGTGTGGGGCCCAGAGGCGGTCTGGACGCTATGAATACTAGAAAAATCTTTTATCCCTGTCGAGAATCGGAATTTATTCCCCGGTAGTTCAGCCTGTAGCTTCTACCGACTGAGCTACACCGGCTTCTACCGGTAGGTGAGAGATAAGTATTAAAATGGGCCAATTGGAACAGTTATTACATATTAACATGCACGTATTTTGCTTAATATACGTACGTAGTTAGTAGAACGTAATATATTGGTAAATATTTTCATTATGGATATAACGTACCATTTGGTTCTGGATTATCGCCAGGATTAACAAAAAGTTATCCTCTACATATCTGAGTTACACGTACTTCTAAATCCTACAGAAACTTTATAAGAGACACGGACAAAGAGAAATAAAGAAGCATATAAGTGACCTGTTCATTATCAGCGTCGCATAAATACAAACAGAATCTTTAATCCTTACTCGAAGAACATTTTAAACATCGGAAGTGATTTAACAATCTTGATGAGCTTAATTATAAATAATTAAGATGGGATACGCTACATCAAAGGACCTCCATAATTTGATGGGTTAACCCTCTGCAGCACGAAGTTATTCTAACTAATACTTACAAGTTCAGTCCGTACCTCACAGGAAACACAATACGCCTCCATTAAAAATACCAATTAAATCGCTCTTTATTCTCAGAATCACACGAAGCCCATACGTACACTCTGTGGGTTGAACGAAAAGAATTTTAATGTTAAAGCAGATGGTATACACAGCAACCGCTGTGTTCTAGAGGCTAACTTATAAAATGGATGGTCTAGAACTTTCTAGGCGTGTCTTTGTGACGTTAAGCAGGATCTGATTTACATTTACTGCAGATTGAAATCCGTTGTTGCCCGAAGTGAGGACAGCCGAAGAGTGAGTCCATAACAAAAGGCTAATTACTTTTAAGACTAGAGTGCTACACATTGCAAACACACAACTTAATATAAAACGCACTTCTTAAATACTGTCACATGATTGAGTGTGAGTAGACGGAGTTTGAATTGGTAATTGGATTTATTGAATTCTTATATAAATCCGTGACTACAAATAATTGTAACCGTTTCACTAATTCGTACGCTTTACAGTTCAGTACAGCACACACTTAAATCTTCTCAGTCTGCTGCTTCTTCCGCAGTCGTTGTCTGGTAACGGTTTCCAACGGAGGACACTCCCCTTCATCCGGGTTCCTGAGCTGTTCCCCCGTGCCTCAGTTACCAGCTTCTCACAGCAACAGCTCACAAGAACTGAACCCCAGCGGTTATATAACTCAGTGACTCACCAACCAACTCTTCACTGACTAGCTCTGAGTCAGAGAGTCAGTCAAAGCTACTTTACGACTGGCGGTTTGCCTCCAATTCAGTTCGCCTTGGCGCCAAGCTCCTTGAAGATCATGGCAATTTTTCTTTTTGCAACTGAACCCTTGCGGTCATAGTCTGTATGTAACATCCTCTCTGACGAGAAGGTGGGTTTGTCACTTATGAATAGGCTTCGACTTTGTCAAATACATATATCGCACATATAGCATAGGTCTACACGGTTATGGGGAATGCTCCCGGGAAGCGGTCAGTCCGATAAAAGAGATAATTTGGAATGAAGAATCTCTCATGAAGTTTGAGATGTGTCTCTGAGAGCAGAGTCATATCTATAAGTAAGTCTTGCAGCTGTTTACTGAGCTCATAGCGCTGTCTCCAAATGTCATTTGCATTATATTGTATGAGTTTGAGCGGCCTATGGACTGTAGCAGCCATTTTGTTTGATGACTCACTCCTCACTAACTTGTCCTGTTTATAACGTCTCGGCACAGACCACATAGAAAACACGATTCCTCTGTTGTTGTTTACGGGCCGTTGTCTAGTTGTTTGTCTCGCGATCGTTGCCTAGCAACGGGTCTACATGCCACATTATTTTCTTGTGGATTACTTTATGACGCTATCAGGCGCTAGATTATACAGAGGTAAATTGTAGGATAGCAGAATGATTGTGCTGGCGAGGACCAGGAGCAATTTACCAGTCAGTGAATTAGCTTCTTAGAACAGTGGGGTCATCTTATTTTCGGCCCCTTAAGAATAAATATTGAGTAGAATTCTAATTGTTAATTCTAAAGGTATTTGTTAAGACACTCGTACCTAGCATAATGAGGAGCTTCATAGCTTGTACTCTTCTCCAAGTATAATTATAATGATCAAGCCTAGGAGGATGAGACGTGCAGGGCATGTAGCACGCATGCAAGACCCGGAATGCATATAGTATTTTGGTGGGGAAGACAGAAGGAAAAAGACAACTAGGATGACCTAGACGTAGGTGGGAGGATAATTTTACGATGGATCTTAGAGAGATAGAATTGGGCGGTATGGACTGAATTGATCTGGCTCAGGATAGGGTCCAGTGGAGAGCTTTTGTCAAGACGATAATGAGCCTTCGAGTTGCATGAAATACTGGGAAATTCTTGAGTAGCTGCCCAACTGGCTGTTTCGCAAGAAGGGCTCAGCTCAATGGATTTAGGCGTATTCAATTTTGTTGAAACCCCCCCCCCCAGATTTTCTCATTGGAGAAATAGGGAGTGGCCTTATGTTCGGGCTCAGTGGTCTGGATACTGACAGCGTAGTAAAGCAAACCACAAAAACTGAACCATTGATAGAATCGTCATTTAACCATAAGTGAGTGAGAATGTGCTGATATAGAAGTTGTCACATCCCTGGCAACGCAACCCGCTCTCATCCTGCCTCACGGGACCGGCATTGAAGAAGCGGACTGCCCCTCACGGCTACCAACCTCACACTGTCACCAGTGGGAACAGTATTGATTGGCTGAGTCTTGGGCTGCCTACGCGACCGCCACGTTCACACTCTAAACCGAAATGCTGAACCGATTTAGGTCAGTGTCACTGGACCAGTCGGTCAGTTTGGCAAAGAATTTATCGGAAACCATTTCAAAACATGTACATAGCGCCGGTAGGGAGTGGGGAAGGTGAATCAAGGAATCTGTATCCCACCCTCTGTATTTTTATAAAATATAAGTTCTGGGTATAACTAATCGCCTGCTTTCCTTTCACATGACATGGACCGCACAGAAAACGAACAGGGGGGATACACAGACAATAAGGCGATTAAAAAATAGACACACAGACAGCAAGGTGATCTCATTAGCCTTCTCTTATTTTTGGAAAGTACGGAAAGTAGGCTAAAAATTCTCGAATGGCTTAAAAAGGTAAGCAAAATATTGTGACTGACGCTCACCGCCCTCGCTTCTCACACCATACGTATGAGCCATATTGTCGTCTTCTGGGATCAGATGCCGTGTAGTCTGGTAGGTGGGGGTTAACATTTCGCTGTGACATACACAGTGTGTCCAGGTTCTGTTAGGACTGTGTTCATTAAAAATATAAGACGTGAATTATTTTCAAAACTTCACTCTTTTTATTCAAAATAGTCTCCTTCTGAATCGATTGAAAAGTTTTCGAAAACAGTCACTGTACTCCTTTTGTGGAATCTCATTTAAAACTGCGGTAGATTCCCTTTGGATGTCCTGGATGGTATCGTGACGGTCTCCTTTCATCGCCAACTTAACTTTTGGGAACAACCAGAAATCTGCTGGAGCCAAATCTGGGGAATACGAAAGATGATCAAGGACTGTGATCCATTTTCTGGCCAAAAAATCGCGCAAGATCTTCGATTTGTGGGGTGGGGCATTGTCGTGGAGGAGCGACCAAGAACCTTGCTCTAGATATTCCGGTATAATTCGACGAATTCTCGCCCACAAACGGTTGAGGACTCCGAAATAATAATCAGAATTCACTGTTTGACCTTCTGGCAGAAATTCCTTGTGAATGATTCCTTTGGAATCGAAGAAAACGGTTAGCAGTGTCTTTACTAGACTCTTTTGCATGTGCACTTTACTTGGTTTCGGCTTCTTTGAGCTCAACCACACTACACTCTGTCTCTTTGTGAGAAGCTCATATTGAAAACACATGTCTTGTCACCAATAACAATCGATTTTGTAAATTTTTTATCACTTTGGGCCTACCGTAACATGTCTTTGCAGTGTTCCACACTGGCATGTTTTTCATCGCCTGACAGCGCGTGCGGTACAAACCGCGCACAGACCTTCCGTTTGCCTAAATCCTCGGTCAAAATTTGATGCACAGTACTTTTTGGTATTCCCAAAACTCCACCATGGGTCTTGTAGAGACACATCTGTCTCGTGCAAGGATTTCGGTCAATATTTTCACATTTTCTTCAGTGCGATTTGTTCTCGGCTTTGATGCATGTGGAGCGTCTTCAATGCTCTCCCTGCCGTCACGAAATATAGCATACC